TTATATATTTATTTATTTATTAATATGTCACTTGGTAAGTTAACTAAATTATAGAAAAGGGGTCCCTTTTGGTTGGGAACCACTGCCTTAGAATGTATGTTCCTACAATAGTGAGAAAGCCCATCACAGTTTTCAATTGTAACACCTTCACAATGCTTGTTTTATCAAAATTATTTAAAAAAAATTAATTAAAAGCAGCACATCTTCACATTCACATCAGCTGTACGTATACATAAACTAAACTGTTTAGTAGTTTGATTTATAACAAAGTATAATTTCTTTATAAGCTCTCTCTGATCCAAGTCTTCCTGCAGAGCCACAAAACAGCAGCAGAGTGACACCTCTTACCATTTTACTCCTCTTGGATGCTGCTTAACCACCACCGAACAAGAATTGTTCTTCTTCTATTACTTCTGCCTCAAAGCTCTTTGACTCTAGCTCCCTCTGTAGATAGAAACAGCTCCTTCTAGTAACAAAAACACAACAATTCATATTTTTAGAAGATTAAACATAAATGAAAAAGTTCTGCCAATTGTTTACCTTAACTAATGATTTCCGTTTTTTAACTTAATATTTAAATTTGACAACATTTGACACCAAACTAGGGTGTAAAGGCATTTTAAAAATCCAAAATGAAGATTTTAAATTATTATTTACATTTACAAAGTGGGTGTGATTGCAGAGTGGGAATGTGTATGGATTTTAGTTAATTGGAGACAGATTCTCCTTGTCCTGCTGAAGTGTCCTTGAGCAAAAGACTGACTGCTGACTTCCCTTTAAAGGGTTCATTTCCTCAAAAAAACAAAAACAAAACGAGCTTTGGAAATGCCTACGAAGTTCCAACAGTAACTCTCTATTGTCATTATACATTACATTTGTCTATCATATTTCTTTTACATAATTAAAACAAACACCTGTCATCATTAACACCAGTTAATCAGGCTGCATTTATTGATCATAAAATCTTGCTACCTCTTTAAATCTCCCTTCTGATTAAAAAAAGATCCTCGTAGCAGCCAATCATAACGTCCTGAGCCCCGGGAACAGACTCATATCAGACAGCGTCACTGCACTGACCCCTTCTTCTCTCCAGGATGCTGCTCTTTCTCGGCCTCTTCTTCTCTGCGGGCTTTTCCATGGAGATGAACCAAACCTCCAAGCTGCTGGGAGCGGAGAGCGGGGAGCAGTGCTCGGCCTGTGACTTCCGGGAGCACAGCAAGCAGATGCGGCTCCACAGCATCAAGTCCCAGATCCTCAGCATCCTGCGGCTCGAACAGGCTCCCAACATCAGCCGGGACATGATCCGCCAGCTGCTGCCCAAAGCGCCTCCTCTGACGCAGCTCCTGGACCAGTACGACCCGCGGGTGGAGGAGGAGGACCACGCCACGACGGAGACCATCATCACCATGGCCACCAAGCGTAACTAAACCAAAACCAAAATACCTTTAAGTGTTCCTTCTTCTTTTTTTGTTCTGCACCTTTTCTGAACGTTGTGCGTAAAATTAGAAGTGTATAATCCGTGCGTAAATCCTATGCGTAAAGTTTGCCCCCCGCAGAAAACCGAGGACAGTTTTGGCGTAAACGGCCATGTAGACCCATAACACTATTTATATCCCGCTGAAAAAAAAATATATATATAAAGTGTATTTTTTGGCTTTTATCCAAAATACTTACAACATTTTGATTTTGAAAAGCTGTTGATACTTAAACTCGATTAAGTAGTGTCTAAGAAAACATAAATCTTTATTTATTATGCAGCAACCTTGCTGCATAAAAGTGCGTATCTTTGCAAACTGAAGTCACAGCCCGTTTCATGAAGTGACATTTTTTGAAATAATAGAGAATAAGTCATATTATTCTGCTACACATATGAGTTATTGTGTGTACAGAATACCGAGTGAATTATCTGGTAAATAGGCCCATTAGATTTAGATTGTCCTTGTCTACAAATGGATTGTGTGGCATGATGATGGCGCTAAAAGAAAGGTCATGGGGTCACTAAGAACATCAAGACATTTTAAGCAAATCAGGTCAGGATCAAAGGCAGAGGTGGAAAGTGAAGTTCAAATACTTCCATACTGCACTTAAGTAGTTTTTACAGGTATCTGTACTTCTATTTGAGTAAATTTACCTCTGAAATAAATTTTGCCCTGATGGTGAAAAAAAGGTCAACAGCTCAGGAAAATAATTTGGGTTCATCCTCTGGGGATCATGTATATTTACAGTAAATTTCATGCTAGTCTGATGTTTGCGCTTGACTAAAGTGATGGACAAACAGCCAAATGTTAAATCTAAACACTGTATTGATTTCTTCCAGCTAATCCAATCACCCAGGATGAGTTTGCCTCCTGTTGTCTGTTCAGCCTCAGTCCGAAGATTCAACCCAAAAACATCCTGCGTGCTCAGCTGTGGGTTCACCTGCGGCCCGCCGACATGGTCACCACCGTCTTCCTTCAGATCTCCCGCCTCAAACCCGGTAAGGAGGGAAACAACACCCGAGTCAGAGTTCGCTCCCTGAAGATCGACACTGATGTTGGTGCTAGCTCTTGGCAGAGCATCGACATCAAGCCTCTGCTGCAGGCTTGGCTGCGTCAACCAGAGACCAACTACGGCATCGAGATCAACGCCTACGACTCCAGTGGAGCAGATCTGGCTGTCACCTCAGCAGAGCCTGGAGAGGAAGGACTGGTGAGTGCAATCAAAATGTTTAAAGTCCCCTTCCAGTCAAAAATCAGTGTTTCTTCTTGTGAATGATGTATGTGCAGAGTTTGACACTAGAAGGATGTTTTTTTTGTCTAAAAGTGGAAATGTTTAGTCAAGCTTTTCTGGCTGCAGGTGCTTCATCTGTTGCATTGTCAGAACATTTTCAATCCCTTTCCAGCAACCATTCATTGAAGTGAAGATCCTCGACCGCCCCAAGAGATCCCGCCGTGACTCGGGCCTCAACTGCGACGAAGAGTCTGCAGAGACCCGTTGCTGCCGCTACCCGCTCACCGTCGACTTTGAGGAGTTCGGCTGGGACTGGATCATCGCTCCCAAACGTTATCGGGCCAACTATTGCTCAGGCGAGTGCGAGTTCATGCACCTGCAGCAGTACCCGCATGCACACCTGGTGAACAAGGCCAACCCACGGGGCACTGCGGGGCCCTGCTGCACGCCCACCAAGATGTCGCCCATCAACATGCTCTACTTCAACCGCAAGGAGCAGATCATCTATGGAAAGATACCGTCCATGGTGGTTGACCACTGCGGCTGCTCCTGAAGAAACCATTTGCAGGCTCAATTATAGAAGCTTTGTTTTCAGCAAACGCGATGCAAAAATTCTTTGATTTGTTAAAACCCAGTAACATCTAATCTAGAGGAGCGATGCAAGTATTTTTGAGGGCGACTCCTAAAGTTGTTTTTATTCATACTTTGTGCTTTTATCCAAATAAAAGAAATATCACAAAAAAAAAACCTTAGATATGATGGAAAACATGATAGAAACAACAGTCGGACGGACAAACTAAAGGTCATAAAAGCACAACAGAGACAACAGAAATTCTTAAATAATCTAAACTTTACAAAAAATGCAATAATAAAAGTCGCGAAGTTGCATCCTTATCTTCGATAATGTGAAGGAGGGATTTAAATCAAATCCAACAGATTTCACTGGATCGCTCAAAGTGGGCACAGGACTCATCCACATAGTTAGACCAGGAGGCGGATACGGGTGAAACTGATGATATTACACAGCTGAGGGCACTCAACATTTTCTTAAGCTCATAATTTTATGCATTTGGGAAGCAAAAATACATTGATTTGCATGGCCTAACCCTAACCTTACTTCCATGGATCAAAAACCTCAAGAAACAAGACTTGAAAGGCAGGTAAAGACTGGTAAAAGGTACTCCTTAATCAAGAATGTTTTTAACTTACATTTTAAAGTCAAATGTCTCTGAAATATATTCAACATTTGAGTTTTTTTATTAAAAAAATTTAACATGACGTAAATATTCTTAGAATAAACAAAGCACAAATAAATCGAGTAAACTTTACTAGATCCCATAAGTCGCTCACCCTTTACATTGCACTTATGTAATTAAATTACATGGAAAATGTAATGTAATGTAATTGAAATACTTAAAGTCAAC